TGCCTGCGCTAACCTCCGTTGCCAATCCTCTTCTTCTTGTACGTGAGCTGTTGCCACAGCATGGCCACTGACAGCTGAGTGGTGTTGGTCCAGCCCAGGCCGCTGACGTGGACCATGCCAAACTTAACCACTAGGCCACCGGGGCTGGCCCTCCTCTTTAATTTTATTCCTGAGTTCGTTCAACTGCTTTTCTGAGTTTCCTTGTAACTGAAGTTTCTTTATGATAACTATTTCGAGTTCTCTGTCATTTAGTCTGTAAATTTCTGTGACTTTAGGATTGGGTTCTGTCTTCCCGTTTTCCTTCTGTTCTGCAGTGTTAATGTATTTCTTCATGGTGTTTGATGAAGTGGACCTTTGCCAGCATACGGGGGTAGTACCTGGTCACAGATTCCACCTGCCACTGCTGGGGAGGGGCAGGGGCTGTGTTTTCTGAACCCACCATTTTTGCTGGAAGTCACAACGAGAGGGCTCACCTGCCTCCTGGCTGCGCTGCTTGGCGGGTCACACGGGCAGGTGCAGGTGCTCTCGTGCGGATCTGCTGCCCTGGCTGGCTGGCAGAGCTGGTGTGCCAGGTGGGAGGGGAGAGCAGGGGTGCCTTCTTTTGCGTGCATGAGCCTGCTCTGCACTCACTGGCAGCCCACCTGGGCTGCTCGCCTTGGTGAGGGCACCCACGCGGTGGCTCAGCCACCTGAGTGTGGAGCGTTCCCACAAGCTGGGATGCAACTCCAAGTGTGAAAGTGTTCGCTTGGAGGCTGCATGTTCCCCTGCCTCCTCTCACAGTCACGTGCCTGCCGGGCTGTTGTGTGTGGACCAGTGACCCAGATCGCCCCCGCTGCTCACCTCCTTGCACTGTTTCCCAGGATCCAGGAGCCCCACCTTCAGACGTGCGGCTGTGTGGAGCTCTCAGACGTCCTACTGTGCTGTGTGGGTTGTCCTCCGTTGGTTAGTGAATATCCCTTTGGTTGTATTTCAGGGGAGAGAGACTAAGGGAATGGCTCACTGTGCCATGATGCTGACGTCACCTCTTCCCAAATCACATCTCTATAAAATTTCATAAATCCCCCAAGTAGACTTTTTAGGAGTCAACAAAAAGTACTTCTCCAAACCATTTCCCAGCTTTTGGTGTCCCCCAGCATCGTCCCTACAGCTCCTGCGGTGGCTCCTGTGGCCTGTGCAGGTCACGGCACCACCGAAGCTGCAGCAGAGCCACTGGGGCCACTAAGGGCAGGTGAGCTGGGATCCCGACCTAGGCCGGAGTGAGCAGGGATGTCCCCAAGCTTTTACATTTCTGAAAGGTTTTTTTAACTTTGGAGAATTTGTGGAAAGCAAGGGACCCTACCCCTAGAAGGATGCATGGGAGAATATGAAAAGTTCGCATACGAGTTCAAGGGTCTGGGTTAAGAATGTTTTTGGACCAAAGGTTTAGAAAGTTTAATCTGATTTCATGTGAACTCTAATTGACCAATAGTGATTGTCTGGAGAATTGTGGATGTGGAGGTCAGGCTCAGGCAGAAAGTGTCAATCAATTACCAATGTCTGCCACAGATGATGACGTCATAAATATACATATGTGTATATATTTTTATGGGCTGAATTGTGTCATCCCACAAATTTTATATATTGAAGCTCTAACCCCAGTACCTCAGAATGTGGCTGTACTCCAAGACAGTGTCTTTAAAGAGGGGATGAAGCTAAAACGAGGATGTGAGGGTGGGCCCTAATCTGGTCTGACTGATGTTCTCATGAGAAGAGATTAGGCCATACAGAGAGTGGCACCAGGACGTGTGAGCACAGAGAAAAGACGATCTGAGGACACGGCGAGAAGGCGGCCGTCTGCCAGCCAAGGGGACAGGCCTCAAGAGAAGCTGAACCTGCCAACACCTTGACCTTGAACTTCTAACCTCCAGAACTGCGAGAAATAAATTTCTGCTGTCTGAGCCACTGGGTCTGTCGTACTTTGTTACGGCAGCCTGAGCAAGGTAATAACGCACATACACGCTTTACTGAGATTGACTCCCACGCTGTCAGCTCCCTCTTTTCAAGAGCCCCAACCAGTGGTTTTCAGTCTATTCCCAAAGCTGTTTATGCAGCTGTGCGTCTATCTGATTCCAGAACATTTACCTCACTCCAAAATTGCACCCTTTGTTAAAGTAAGATTAAGAGACATGGGTTGTTTTTCACTTAATATTCTCAACAGTATTTTTTGATAATTTTTAAAATGAGGAATAACAAAATAAATATATTCAAGTGCTCCACCTCTCTCCATTATCTCTTAAAATCACCCCAACAAAGTCTTTGGTCCCCTCTCCCCCCCAGCTGTTGAGCTTGACAAAGTGAACCACTCTGTCCTTCTTCATGTGCCTTTTAGGAAGCTGGAAGTAGTGAGATTCACCTTTTAAAATTGATACATGTTTTAAAGACGTGAACTCCTGAAGGGCACCACAGGTGAATGTCAAAAGCATTTTACTAAGAAAAGAAGCCAGTCACAAAAGGCTGCCCGCCGCACGATTCCACTTAGAAGACATCCCTGAAAAGGCAAAACGATGACACAAAATCCAGCAGCGGATGTCCGGGGCGGGGCTGCAAACAGAGGGGCGCGGGGAAGTTTCTGGGGTGATGCGACTGTTTCATTTCCTGATGGTGGTGGTGGTTACGACTGTAGCAGTGTCAAATCTCAAAGAACTGTACATTTTTTAAAAGGGCCAATTCTACGGAATGTAAATTAAACTTCAATAAATGTGACAATAAAAAAAGACCCACCTTGACTACAGCACGCCAGGCCCTTGACCTCCACTGCCACCCCACGTGGCAGCACAGCGCTCCCCACCCAACACCCAGAGCAACCTGCCCAAGGTCACGGGGGGTCACAGGAGCAGCTGGGCGCAGACCCAGGACACTGCCTCCCAAGTCTGCCACGGGGCCACCGGGCCAGTGGGCCTCCCTTTCTAAATATAAAGTGACATTACAAAATGCTCCTGCGCACAGGGAGAGGCCTCTGTGGGTCAACAGTGGGAAACGTCAGTTCTCGAGGAGCCGCTGATGATCTGGCTCCACGTCTGAGCTGCCTGAGTGCTTCCTGGTCAGGGCTGGAGGAGTGGATGGGGGAGCAGCCCCCGCGTTACGTCCCTCTGAACAGGGACAGCTCCCAACGTCCCATCCTCACCCTCCTCTCCCCTGAGCATTGGGTCCCGAGTCCCGTCATCCACCCGCCGGCCGGGCCCGGAAGGCCTCACGCACCCCAAACATAACACGTGTGAGGCCCAGCTCTCGACTGTGACCTCCACCCGCATCGTCTCCGTCCCGGAAAACGGCATCTCTGTCAGCCCAGTTCTCAGCCCCCAACTCTCACAGCCCACACCCAATATATCAGCAAATTCCGCCCCCATCTTCAAAACAGTGCCTGAATCTGACAACCTTCACCACCCCGACCTTTACTGAGTCCACGCTGCCACCCTGTCCCCAGGGCAGAGTAAAGCCTCCTCGCTGGTCCCTGTCTTCTGTCCCTGCCCACATCCCCAAATCCCCCTCTGCCTCACAGCTGGAGAAATTAAAAACAAAAAAAGACCAGATTATGTCACACCCTCCTCAAACCTTCCAGTGAGTTTTCAGTAAGTTGGAAATAAAACCTAAACTCTTTAAACCAGCCCAAGACCCTATACGATCCAGCCCTGCTAACCCCAGGTCTCACCACTCACCACTCTTCCCTCGCTCGCTCTGCACCAGCCACACCGGCACCTTGCTCGTCTTCAAACATGCAAACATGTCCCTGCCTCAGGGCCTTTGCACCTGCAGTTCCCTCTGCCTGGATACCCTTCCACCAGCTATTTGCAAGGCTCGCTTTGTTAGGTCTCTGCTACAACGTCATCTCCACAGACAGCTTCCTCCCGCTCCCTCACCCTGTGTTACACCATTTATCTCTACCTGACAGTATACTGTGACTTTATTCGGTGAGATCAGCCCACTCAGTGGCACTTGCCTGGTACACAGTGGGCACTCAAGATGTATTTGTTGAAGGAAGGAACCATGTATCTGCTATCTGCATCTCCTGCAGCACCACGCTCCCTGCTTCTCCTGGTGCAAACCAGGCCCCGTGGGAGGGCTCCCTGCCCCGCACTGTCACCAGCCTACCCCTCTAGGTGAGAAGGACACCACAAGTCCCCTAACTTGCGGGCCATCTACTTCCCCCTCAGGGGGAACAAACCCTTAAGCCTCTTCTCCTTCTTGCCACTTTCAACCAAACCAAGCCGAAATCTACAAGACACTACAGTAACGCACAGAAGCAACAAACACAAACAGGTTCTCCCAGGTCCACCCCTCAACATCCTTTTTTTTTTTGGTGAGGAAAATTGTCCTCAAGCTAACATCTGAGTCAATCTTCCTCTATTTTGTACAGAGGATGCTGCCACAGCATGGCTTGATGAGCAGTGCTAGGTGAGTGCCCGAGATCTGAACCCGCGAACCCCAGGCTGCTGAAGTGGAGCGCGAGAACTTAACCGCTGTGCCACTGGGCTGGCCCTCCTTCTTTTTTTAATCAACAGCGGCGTCTCTCTCCTCCAGAGGGACTTCGTGTCCAAGCTGGGCACACAGGCTGGATATGCTGGAGCCCCACTGGGCCCTCGCGGACAAAAATGAGAGAGATGTCCAAGGAAACAGAAAGGACCCGGAATGCCACCGCCTGCCTTTCCATTCCTGGGGCAACAGTGCCCGATGCCCCCTGGCCCACACACCATACACCTGCCTGAGAATCTTCAAAAGGGCCCAGGAGAGCAAGCGGCGGGTGAATTCCCATCCAACGGGGTAGCACACTGGACACTGAGGGTGTCAGTCCGGTGCTTGTGTCTGGCCGGCCTGGGCTAGGCCCGGGCCACCTCACGCCTGCCCACTGCAGCCAAACCGCCCCCGGCCCCCGCTGTTTAAGAACAACAAAATCTGCCCCCGGCTGAAGAAGAAGACGGAACCTGCTGCTGCTCAGGCCTGGGGGCCCCGGAACCCGGCCTTACCTCTTGATGACAAACTGGATGCTGTTGCTGGCCTCCAGGATCTTGCGCAGCTTGGCGATGCCGAAACAGTTGGGCCTGCGCAGGGAGATGCCTTCCGGCAGCCCCACCACGAACAGCTCCTCCGGGTACATCAGGAACTTGGAGTAGGGCACCTTGACGGGCTCCGAGATGCCGATGGCCTTGGCTGCAGAGACACAGCTGCTGTAGGGCCAGCCCGAGCCTCAACTCCCACCCCACGTCTGCCTGGGGGCCCTCGGGTGTCAGAGCCCCGTTGAGTTGGTTCCCAACCATCCTGAGAAGTGCGTACTGAGACCCTAGGTCTGCAGGTGAGAGACCGGAACTCAGAGGGGATGCGATCCTTGAACTGGGGGAATGTGAACCCCAAGCTCCCCCGCAGTCTGTGCCCTAATGCCTGGCAGTGCAGGAAAACCCCTGATGGCTGGGAGATCTGGTGTCTGCCCCACCCAAGTCCATTTGTCCTCGCCCTCCCAGAAAGGCCCTCCAGCAAGGCCCCACTGTCGCCATCAATGACAGCCAAACGCCTGTGTGGCCAACACCACACCTCAGGAATGGGACAGATCTGAGGCCCAGGCCAGGTTTTGCCACTCACTAGGTGTGAGGCCTCGGCCAAGACACACACTTCCCCAGCCTCGTTTGTCCTCATCTGTAAGACGGGTATTAGGGCACAGGGATTCTGTGAGGTGGGAGAAGTCCTGTGAGCCCCAAGTCAATGCCTGGCGAACCACCGGGGCTCCATACAGAACAGCCTTCTCCCTGCCTCCCCATCCTCTCTCCTGGTCTCTAGCAGGAAGGTGCTCGCTAGGTAGGAGTCCTCCTGAGGAGCCCAGACGAGGGTGTCCTTGAGGGCGGAGGGGCGGTCGTTACAGTGGGGAGAAAAGCCGAGCTGAGGCAGAGGCAGAAGTGCGTGGGGCCGAGCCTTCTGACAGAGGAGGCCGGTGTGGCGTCTCAGGTGGGGTTTTCTGGCAGTGACTCAGTCTCCCCAGGTGGGGCGCCTGGAGCTGAGGGAGCGGCTGGCCCGGGAGCCCAGGACACCCACGACCCGCTAGCCCCTCGCTCACCGTAGCGCGTGTTGAACAGCAGCTCCACCTGCTTCCGCAGCGGCCGGATCGCGTCGCCGTGGCTGTCTGCAAGGCAAAAGGCAGCTGTGGGGCCGCCCGGCGGCCTCAGCACCCTGCTTCTCAGCTCATGTCCCAGATCTGCCGGCACCACGAATGACCCTGTGCTGGGGCCTGGGAATGGGGAAGGCCGGGGGCGGGTGGGTGGCAGGTAACCTATGTCCTCAGAAACGGCAGCCCCAGGTAGGGCCACAATTCCTGGGCTCAAATATCTGCTTGTGAAATCGGTTCTAGGGCATCTCCAGGCCTGAACGGAGCTTTGGAAAATTTTCTGGCCTAAAAATGACCATGGGCCTTTCCAGATGAGTGTCACTCTAGACCAGCTTAGTAAGTGACTTAACTAGTGGGTGAACATAAGCCTGCAAATTGAGTGTGCTGCCACCAGGTGGCAGTGGACTTTGCTAACCTCGTGGTCATGTCGTGTCCCTGCCTCCCCACCCAGGGCGGCTGGGTTTGTGGAAATAACACTTCTCTCTGACACCCACTCATTCTATCTCAGGGCCGGATACCCCAAGAAGAAAGAGGCTCATCCTCATCTTAACCTCCCTTCCTGTCCTATTCCCACTCTTAAGAGCTTTGTGGAGAAAAGCCAGGTGTGTATAACAAAACGAGGCTTTACAACGTCCCTTCCCAGAGAGGTGTTGTGCCCCTGCCCAGGTGCCTTAGTTCTGGAAGACGGGTCTACAAACCTCCTCCCCTTCAGGCAGCCCACAGGATCCCCACCCAACCCGGATGCTGCAGAGACGGGGTGGAGAGAACCAGACACAAAAGGGAGACAGGGGCAGGGAGGGGGAGAGACGGGGGGTGAGAGGTGGGAGGTGGACAGCGCCTCACCCTCCACGGGCCTCTCCTCGGGCCGCGGATCCTCGCCAGGGCCTTTGTCTGAAAGAGAACAGAGGGTGCCAGGAAGCCACGTCTGCCCTCCCCTGGACTCTGCGCCACAGTCAGGCCAGACAAGTGAGGAGCAGCAGGCCGGCAGCCCAGACCCGGGAGCACGGCACGGAGACCCCCAGACAGCATCACAGACCCCGATTCTGCATGGGCACCCCGCCCTCGCCTTGGCATGACGAGGGCAGGTTTGGAGGCCAGGTGTCCATCACATTCGGGACCAGGCCCGTGTCAGCCCATCCTCCTTCCACTGCGTGCTGTTCTGCTCTACACTGAGGACACAGGGGAACGAGACAAAGCCGTGTCGCCCCGGTGTGACGTCAGACACGACACGTAACGCCAGACGGTGGTGACAGCATGAGGAAAACAGAGCTGGAGAAGAGGACAGAGGTGAGGCCAGCGGGGGCGTGGAGCCACCCCAGGTCAGGTGGCCCAGGGGTCCTCTGACAAGGTGGCCCCGGCCCTGGCCTGGCTCACAGCAATGGACACAACCTTATCCCCAGACACTCATCTACAGATGGTGAGGACAGGGTACAGTGACGACGGGGAGGCTAGCACTGAGGCTGGGTGGGTGTGAGATGAGGGTCCCTTGCTGGCCTGGGGCTGCCAAGGAGGGGAGGCTTCCTGCAGGACGGGAACACCTGGGTCGGATCCAAGTGTCCAGGAAACGCAGTAGGGCGAGAGGAACACAGCAGGGAGGGAGAAGCGGGGGGCGACAAACTCGAGATGACAAGTTTCAGCTGGAGGATGGAGTGTAAGTGCAGACAGCAGGAGTAGGGGGAATGTGGCGGGAGGCGGGGCCTCGTTCGACAGCAGCCCTTTATCACCAGGGCTGGGGGAAGGCACCGAGGGATGGTTAACACCTGAACCAGCGGACAGGAGCTGTAATCTAGGAAGCTCGCAGGTGCTGCCACATGCAGGGCTGACCCCCAATGGCCCCTTCCAGCCCACGACATGCAGCTGAGCTGGTGAGCGGTGGAGCAGTGGAGCCCAGGTCCGCAGGCTCCCTGCCACTGCCTGCTGCTCTCCTGCCAGCTCGGAGAGCGCCCTTGCCGGGGAGGAGGGATGCAGGGCGCTGTTCCAGGTGGGACCGCGAGCTGGAAGGAAAGGGGCTGATCTGGGAGAGCTGTCCACGGTCCAGGCCTGCTCATCTGGGATTGCTGGACAAGCCTGAGCCTTGGGACTCAGCCTGGAAGGAGCTGGAAGGTTCTGGAGGGTTTCACCTATGCTCAGCCACTGACTTGAAAAGGTGGAGGGCCGGCCCTGAGCTTTAGGTCTAAACTTTCCTCAGAGACATGGACACGCTGTGGGCAGCAGCTGCTGGCCCACCTGCCTGCCTGCAGGCTTTATTCTGGCTGCGGAGCAGAACCCACCAGCTGCAGGCACTGTGGTCACCACTCCAGAAACAGCTGTCAACCAGTGACGAGGGGCAACTGGGCGGATCCCCAGCCCAGCTCCCTGCCCAGTCAGCTGCACTGCCTCAGGCACCGGATTGACGTGGCTCTGGTCCCTCTGCTCGGCTGCCTGCAGCGGTGCGGGCCTGACAACACTGCTGTATGGTCTCAGGCCTGGACAGGTGTTCCCGGGGCCTCCTCCCAAATGAACCGATGCAGTTGTCCCAGAGCAGCTTCCGGGGATCCCAAACTAATAAACCTCACTTTTGCCATTTCTAGACGGCGTGGAAATTAATAAACCTCAACTAAACTGGAGTCAGAAAGCGTGGCGGGTGGGGGGAGCTCTCACACCCTATCAGAGAGCGTCAATTACACCGTCCAGGAGGAGGCTGGAAGTCTGCATCTTCTACAGGAAGTAGCACTACTTTCCTATGGAAGGCAGATTTCTCTCCCACCCAGCCACAGCCCAGCCAATGGGAAACGCTGGAGCTCAGCCAATGAGAACCCGTTACTGCCCTGGATGCTTCCTTTCCCCCATGAACTTGCATTTAGAGCACCCCTTCCCTACCTCCCCTTTTTCCTCTTTCGAAGCAGCTCCCCTCCTTTGTCTTCTGGCTTTGCGAACGGTTTGCCATAGGAGGCGCATCCCAAATTGCAATCCTCTGGAGCATTCCTGAATAAACTCATTTTGGGCGTAAAATAACAGGTGAATTTGCTGTCTAAGTTGACAACGGGAGAGAGGGGCAGACAGGAAGAGACTAGTCTGGTGGGGACAGAGGAACAAGCAGGGGCACCAGGGAGGGTTTCCCTGGGCAGGGGCCTGTGACAAGGGCTCAGGCGGCTGTATCCATCCCGGTGAAGGAAGCTGCCCAGGTACCACACCTGGAGTGAGCACAGATTAAGTTCACGAGGTGGCCTGTGGGGGGCAGGAGGGAGACCTGGGCAGGGAGAATGTCCCGCTGTGAGCTGTCTGTGTGCAAAGCAGCCCCTCAGGCATGGCAACAATCCAGAGCCAGGCAGGAGATGACCAGACAGCCATGCTGACGGGGGCCCCACTCGGGCGTCTGCAGGTCCCTCTCGGGTGGGGGCTTCTGCCAGCCTTGTTGTTGGGCCCGAAAAACAGAAGGAAGCTGGGCGGGGTCCTCTGCTGTGGTGGGGGGCCTTTCAACGGCCGAGGGAGACGACCCGAGTCCTTTAGGGGCTCAAATTCCAAACATGAGGAACTCGCCTGATTCTCCACCCAGGCATGGAGGGCTGGGCCATCTACCCCCAACAACCCGTCCTCTGCCCCCCGTTTCCAACAGCAACTGAAAACCTCAACAAAGGATGAGTGACACGCACGCCAACAGGACAAACGGCACGCCAACAAATCCCATCCATGTCGCTGCAGACACACGTCCAAGGACCCGCGGCATCAGGGGAGGGGAGGGGTGGGACGGAGGAACAACTGGTATGATACAGCGACAACACACGTCACCAATGTGTGGAGAAAAGCACAAGAAGGATGGAGACGAACCAGCAGGTGCCGAGGAGGCGGTGGGGGCTCTGCCCTTATGGGTCACAGAGTTCCACATTATTTTACAACACACATGTGTAAACAGAAAAAGCACACACACACGGACACACAAATACACATGTCCACAACCCTCTAATCCACAGCGGTCCTGGAAACCTCAGAATCTCCGTGATTCATCAGCTTTGAGCGGGTGCCTTGAAAGGAGCCCTGGATGGGGACTCGGCAAACTGGCTCCCACCCAAGGCTGTGTGACCTTGGGGAGGTGGATTGGCCTTGCTGGGCCTCAGCTTCCCACTCTGTCAAACCAGGAGGGAGAAGCCTTTCCCACAGAAATGGCACCATACTGGTCCACGCCCCCCAAACCCCCACGGTCTCCGGACTGAGACCCCCATGGTGTTCTCCACTACCAACATGAACACAGCCAGGCGCCATGTGACCTCTTAGCGGCCAGGCCACCCTGTCAGCTCATGCCACGCCTCTGGTCAGCTAACCCCCCCCACCACCAAGTCTCAGCAGAGGCTGCTGTAAGTCCGGTCATGCACAGCCCACGCCTGGACAATGACATCCTTTCTTCATTAGCAGGGTTTGAAAAGCATATCATAACTGATTTAGGAAATGAAAAAAAAAATAAATCACTTAACCTAACGTAGCTACTGTTCCAATATGTCCTTTCTTTTTTTTAAACCAGTGATGATGTCTTCAAGTCAGTTGTAAACACAGCACAGGCGTATCTTCTACATTCTCTCTTGCCTTGGTGCCTATTTTTAGTGGCTGCATAACAGTCCACGAGAACCCACCATAACGTCTCCCCGACAGTTGCACAGGCTCCTTCCAATTTGTCACTGTCATCATTAACACCACCACAAACATCTCTGTGCAGAAAATGCTGCCCATGTTTCAGATAATTTCCCAGGACTGGATTCCTGGAACTACCAGGAGGTGCTCATTTTCATGGCTCTTCAAGCTGACAAATTTCTTTAAAAAGCAACCGCCAATCTGCATTCTTCCCAGTGCCGTCTAAGTGCCCGCTGCCCAATATGCTCAACGAGAGTTCTGTCCAATTAGAACATGCCGAAGGCATCCCTCCATTCAAGCCCTCACTCCTCGGCGGCTGCACACGGTTCTTCACTCGCTTTTTTCGTGCAACTATCCACTCACATTGTGGTGGACACTGGCATGGACCGCCCAGATCCCCAGCTTGGTGCTCTAGCAGAGGGGACTATGGTCAGCAGGCAGCCCACAGTGGTCACTCCTTCCAGGACTGCCCTTCTGGGGCGGCCCACGTCCTGTGACAGATTGCGGTCGGGGTATGAAGGCCAGGACATCCCAGTTCAACTTGAACAATTCTAAGAGGCCATTCTGGCTCCAGAGCTCCGTGCAGGGCTGCACCCGCCTGTCACTGGGGCTGCACCCTGGCTCTCCCGCTCCCTCTGCCCGCTCACGCTTCCATCCCTCCCATTACAGACGTTGATCCCAAGGGCAGCCCCTAACAAACACCCCACATTAAACTCCATCTCAGGGTCTGTTCCCCAGGGAATGCAACCCATGACACACATCCTTGGGCCATGAATTCTTCTTGTGGCCTTTAGTCCAATGTTCTGGTCTCTCAAAGCCCAATGTTCTGGTCTGACAGGGAACATCACTCTTGGGTGGACTTTCCATTCCTTCCCAAGGCATCTGCAGATTGTATAATCCTGCTGCCTGAGATCCCTTCATCCAATGAACTGATCAATGGTCGAGGATGGAGTAAGTCCTCCAAGATGACTACGGGAAACCTTGCCTAGGTGACGGCAGCCCCTGCTTCCCCAGCTGGCCCAGGGTCAGCCTGGGATCCTGAGGTCCTCTGAGCTGACTCACCCCTAATGAATGACCCCACACTGGGTCCCTTCTAATGGCTCACAGTCTCTTCGAGAACTGTGCCTGGGAATGACGCACAGTCTACCTGTTTGCAATTTGGGTAAACCTTCATCTTGCAGTCTGTCTTCCGCTGTCAGCTTCTCTTCCGTCCAGCGTGACTCCTTGAACGTGCTGGATGGCTGTTATCTGCCCTGCGTGTTTCCTGCCCGGGACTGCCTCAGCAGAAGCTGATCTAGCCTCCTCCACTCTGCAGACCCTGCGTCTCTCCTCACTGGACTCCCAGGTCTTCCCCACTCTTTCCCGTTTCCAGACCACTCTCTCTGATGCATAAGATGACAGCAGACGAGGAGTGGAGACATTCTGCCTTTATTCTGTCACCAATTAACGTGGCACCACCCACCCGGGCCTGCAGGAAACCTTATTTGTTTTTCCAGTCATTTGTTTGCTTTTGGTAGGGGAAAAGTTAAACGGTGCAGGAAAGCATACAGAATGTTATACTCAACACCACGTACCCACCAGCTGGAACGAATATATATGCTAGTCTTCTGTCGTATTTGCACCTAATTTTTTTTTTTGGTGAGTAAGATTAGCCCTGAGCTAACATCTTTTGCCAATCTTTCTCTTTTTGCTTGAGGAAGACTAGCCCTGGAGTAACATCCGTACCAATCTTCCTCTATTTTGCATGTGGGATGCCCCCACAGTATGGCTTGATGAGCAGCGTGCAGGTCCACACCCAGGATCCGAACCCATGAACCCCGGCCATTCCTCTGGCCAAGATTTCTGCAGTGCCCAGTTTCTGTCTTTATCTCCACTACTCTGCAGTCTATTCTCAGAGTAAATACTGTGGAAATGTCCCTTGTTAGCTCAACCCCCCAGTGGGTCCTGTCTCCTGAGTCAAGCCCCACTCCTCCCTTTGATGTACACGACCCTGCATAACCCAGCTCATCACCTCCCTGATCTCACCCTCCCCACCTCACTCTGCTCCAGCCACCCGGGCCTCCTTGCTTTACTTGGACATGCTGGGCATGGCCCACCTCAGGGCACTTGTACTTGCTGTTTCTGCTGCCTGGAAAGCTCTTTCTTTTTCTTTTTTTTGAGGAAGACTGGCCCTGAGCTAACATCCCTGCCCATCTTCCTCTACTTTATATGTGGGACGCCTGCCACAGCATGGCTTGACATGTGGTGCCATATCTGCACCCGGAATCCAAACCAGCCAACCCCAGGCCACCAAGAAGCAGAATGTGTGAACTTAACCACTGCACCACCGGGCCGGCCCCAGGAAAGCTCTTTCCTGATATCTGCCTGCTCCACCCAATCCCCCCACACTGCCTTCAGGTCTTTGCTCCAATGTCACTTTCTCAGTGAGGTCCTCTCTGACCACACAAAACCTGTAGTGACAGCCCCTCCTGCCCCCAACACTTCCCCTCCCGGCTCTGTCCCTCCACAGCACCTACCCCCTCCCCCCAACTTTCCACTTTACTCAGTGATTTGCTTATTCTCTGTCTCCCTGCACTGGGAGGTCAGCCCCACGAGGGCAGGGCCTTTGGTCTGTCTGGGTCACTGGCCTGTCCTCAGAACCTTGCATGGGACCTGGTACACAGCAGGTACTCAATAAATAGTTGTTGAATAAACAAACAGGTTAATCCAAATGGGGGCTCCTGAGAAAGATGTAGGAACCAGACTTCCCACAACGCAAAGCCTACTTCGAGTTTTCAGAGAGGAACCCAGCCTGGAGGCCGGGGGGGGGGGGGGGGGGGGGTGCAGTTAGGCATACACTGGGATTCCTCTAAGGGGCAGTCAATACCAAGGAAAGCCTGGGGGCTTCCTGGCCCACCCCTCTCCCAGTTACACCCCAGGGAGGAGGGTCCCCAGCCTATTTCTTACCAGTCAGCATCTCCATCCCATAACCAGAATCTTCTGAGGGCAGATGCCCAGGCATCGAGTCTGTCATTTCCTCAGAAGTTGGCGAAGGGTCTGGAGACAAAACTCCAAATGACAAGAGCATCTGCTTGTCCCACCCCATCACGGTCCCTCAGGGACCCCTAGCCCAGCATGCCCGCAGCAGACCCTTAAGGAAGCCGCACCCCGGCACTCTGGCAGGGCCACCTGAATGATCAGCTGTTCCCAAGGCCAGGCAGGGGCCCGAGCGGCCTGCAGCCCTACCAACTCCCAGTGGTTACCCCACGCTGAGCTTCCAGAAGCCAAGCACACCCCTGTCTTCACAGATACAGAAACTGAGGCTCGGGGTCCCAAGTCTGGAATCAAACTCAGATCCACTAACTCCAGTGCCTTTTCTTCCCCTCCCTCCTGCCTCGCAAATCCCAGGGGATCCAGGCCAGGGAGGTAAAGGCTGGGGGCCCTTTAGGAAGGTCAGAGCCGAGGCCCAATTCCCAGCAGAGGGCAGGTGTGGCTGCAGAAAGCACACGCGACACCCCACTTCTCTCGGAATCAGACTAGAGAAACAGCATCCTGGGGACGCCGCCGTGGCGGGGCGGGCCCTCAGGAGACAGAGGGGACGGCCAGGGGTGGGGCGGCGGCTCCGGCAGGTGCAGGTGCCCGGCTTGCGGGGCTGCTCGGTTCCTGCGGGTCAGGCAGGGGCAGCCCTTCAGATGTCTGTCCCTTACCTGGGATGGTGACCTGAATGATATCCAGGTCCTCCGGCTCAATTTTGATGGGCCTCAGCCCACCCAGCTCCCCGGAGGTTCCTGTGAGGAGGAGACAAGGGATCCAGTTAGGTGTGAGCATGAGCTTGGCCAGGCAGGGCAAGCCATTCCAGAACATTCTCATGTCTATGACTTGTTAGTAGCGCCCAGGAAAAGTCATGTCAGCCCCCACGCTCCTGCCCAGACCAGGAATGGAAGGTCAGGCAGGCCCTCAGGCCTGTCCTGGTGTCTCCAACGTACAGACCTGGCATCTGAGGCCCACAGGAGGAAGCTGCCTACCATGGACGTACCAGGAGCTGGTGGCAATGCCAGAACCTAAGTCTCCCAACTCCCCCTCAACACCACCCACACCCCCCTGCCCCTCCCAGCCCCCTAGTGAGCTCCCAGCATGCTCTGAGGCCTGGCAGGGGCAGACAGAGGGGGCAGAGGAAATTCACTAGGACTCCAGGCTCACAGTCGGAGCTTGTCTCCTCCCCAAGGCTGCTGGGTGGGGCTGGCGGATGCCCTCCCACCCCGTGATGCACACAGCGGGGCCCTGCTCCCCCTCACCTGCCCCACAGTCTTGGGAGATACCACTCTTGTCGGATCTGCAGGAAGGAAGCCCAGAAATGACATGGCATCGGCCTCATGTCCCTCCAGGCAGTCAGGGGCCCACGGTGGCTGCCAATTCAGAATGCACCCCTGGGCCACACTCGCTCCCATCCCCAAGGGGGATGGCCCTTCCCCTTGAGCCAGAGTCCCAGTACCCTGTTTCCAGGGACAACAGTCCCCTGTCCACCCAGCTGAGATCCTGCTCGCTATCCTGGGGTGAGCAGTCTGGGCGCCCACCTTCCCCACCAGCTGGGAGGCCTGGGTCGCCAATCTGAGGGCCCCACAGCTTAGCACAGTGAGGGTTTGATCAGCGCTTGTGAAGGAGATTGACAGCTGCAGGACCACCACCCGGAGGGGGTATGGAAGTCTGAGGAGGGGGCTGGGGAGCAAAGATGGGCAGGGCTCCTAGGATTAATGATTCAGTTAATTCACAGAGTACTGTGGGGGGAGGCCTGGGCTGGATGCGGGGATTCCGGGGTAAATGGCCCATCCCTGGCCCCCAGTGGCCCAAAGCCTGGGTGGGGGCAGGGCAGATGGTGACCAGGCCGTGAGCTGAGTGAGGGCCTCGTGGACATGCAGGGCAGATGCCTGCCCTGGTCCGGGTGGCAGGGAAGCCTTCCGAGACCAGGCAACATACGGCCAGATCCTGAGGAGGGACAAGCGTTCTCCAGGAGGAGAAAATTGGCAGTCTCTGTCCTCCTCTGTCCCCTTAGATTCTCCCTGGGGACAGTGGGGTGAGGGCACACGGGTGTGTGGGGGGTGCCTGTAGGGGATGCCGAGGGGTCAGGAGCCGCTGGGCGCAGCATCCTCTGGCCAGCCCCAGGCCTTGCTCCCCCTGCAGTCAGACCACCTCAGGCGCGAGCAGGGTGGCCCTGGGCTGGGAGCTGGTGTGGGCCCTCACCGAGCAGTCCCGGCCAGGTCGAGGATGGCGGCTCGGGAGACCTCTGCAGAGGCGTCCTCCGGCGGGCTGGCGGGCTCCAGCTTTGTGGGGTCTTTGGTAAACTTGTTCCCTGGGTGGAGAGCAGGGCCGGGTGGAGGTCAGGGCGAGGGCTCTGCAGGCTCCCCTTGCCCGCGGGCACCTGGCCAGGGGCCTCCGCGTCAGCTCTGGAGGGACCCCTCGGGGGTCGGCTGGCCTCTGCCCCTCCTTCTTGTGGGCTCCAAGTCTGGCCAGCAGCCAGGAATGGGTCCTAGGGAGAGATGCCTCCCCTGGGAGAGGGAATAAGGGTCCCAGTGCTCGAGGAGCCCAGGATCCAGGGGAACTGAACAGGAGGAAGGGGAGACGTCAGCCGGAAACCGCTGTCCTGACCTCGCATACACTACTGGGGCCGAGGGAGCCCTCAGAAAGGGGCCGAGCCCCCCAAGGCTGCACCACGGGACCATGCTCTCTGGTGATTATCCCAGGAACCCAGAGGAAGGCACTCATCAGCCCACTTCACAGATGTGGAAAGTGAGGCCCACAGGACCCTGCCCATGGTCATAAAGCTGGTGGGAGGTGGGGTGGGAACGGAGACCCGGGTGCGTTGCACCCCAAGTTCATGCTCCCTCTGCTGCACCAGGCAGAGTCCGCCTCGCCCTCCTGAGGGGTGAGCCACCACTGGTGACGGCCTGGCTCTGCCGGCAAGTGCCTGGGTTTACAGCCAGGCCCCATCGCTCGCTAGCTGGGCCTCCGGGGAAAAATGAGAACCCACTTCCTGGCGCTGTCGAGAACTAAACGAAGTTAAAATGAACTGTGCTGACAGCTTGGAAGAGTCTCTGACACACGTTAGTATCCAGTTCTTCCCTGTCCAGGGCATCCCGAGTCTTGAGGGGCTGTCTGCACCTGGGAGCTGGGGTCCCTGTCTGCCCCAGCATGCCAAAGCCACCTGCGGGCTCCCTCCCCGCCCCAGGGGCCGGGGTGATGGCGGCTTCAGAAGGACTAGAAAGTACCCACACATACCTGTGAAAATTCGCTCATCAAACATCCTGGGGAGAGAGGAGAGCCGGCATGAGAGCAGTGCAGGCCCAAAAGACCCCCTGGGCTCAGAGAGCTGGTCACCAGGTCCCCTAGTGACCCCATATGCATGGCTCTAGCTGTGGATCTGAGCACTGGGCTGGCCACACATGGGGGCCGGAGAGGGCACAGTCCAGAAGAGCCAGGTAGCCCACACCGTTTCTCCACAGCCAGGGCAGGCACGGGCCTGGAGGGTCCAAAGTGTTCTTCACGATGCCCCAGGAGCTTCCCCCAACCCTGAGCTCTCCCTGGCCACAGCCACCAGGGTCCCGTGTCTCAGTGACAGGCACAGGATAGGCCCTGCTCCCAAGCTCTCCATTGACTGCAAAGCCAGGCGTGCCACCAGACCACAGCCACTCAGAGTGACACGTGGGACCCCTCATGTGTGTCTCAGAGGCCAAGGGGGCCCAAGCAGGGAGGGACTTGGGAAAGACTTCAGGGAGAAGGGGACAGCGAGCTCAGGTGGGATGGCTGAGAGGTCCCCCAGGGACAGGCATGGGGTGGAGCTGGGGGCTGCACCTGGCTGGCTGGAGGTGGCCTGCGTGAGGTGACCAGCCTTCAGGGCTGTGCTAGGGCGCATGGTCTCTACCCTGTGGGCAACGTGGAGACCCCAAGGGATGTGGCACCATGAGATCACTCCATCACCAGATAGGGGACAGACTGGAGGGGGACGGCTGGGGGCCCAGGGCCCACTCAGGGACCCCTGAGTCATCCTGATAAGACCCCTGGAAGGCTGGGCAGGGAAAAGGAGGATGGAGTAAAGGTCAGTGAGGAGCTGGGCTCCCCCAGGGCTGGTGTTCGTCCTATTCTACCTGCGGCCCGCACCAGGGCAGCCCCCATGGGCTGGGGAGCCTCAGACAGCTGGTCTGGGGGGCCTGCAGCAGAGACTCGTGCCATGGAGCCACTGGACAAGGGGACAGGACCATGGTCACTAACCTCAGGCTGCAGAGGCAACATGGGACAAATGAAGGGATGTCTGAGTCTGAGTACAAGGGGGTCTGACAATGAACAAGGGGTGCCCAGTGGGAAATTCAAACAGGCAAAAGGCCGTGGCAGCAGGCAGAGCCTGGGTCCCCGTGGCAGTGGGACCCTGGGCAAGACTTCCATCCCCATCCTGAGAGGCCCCCGGTCCCACTGCAGCTCCTAGAGGCCCACACTCCTCAGGGTCCCACAAGGCCGAGGGGCAGCAGGGAATCATCCTGGGGAAAGCCTTCTCCTCAGGTCCACCCAGCGGCCGGCAGACCTGCGGCGTTAGCACTCGCGGCTCTGTGCATTCATTTGGAGGGAGAGTATGGCGGCTTGCACAGGTCCCTGAGGGCTGTGGACCAGGTGGCAGGGAGAAGGTCTGAGGTGCCTCCAAGACCGTGACAGACACCCTCACGGGCCGCCCGGTCTGGAATGCCCGCCTGAGGGGTGTGGAGAGGGTCTCTGTCGATCGACCACAGCACACCCCGGATACTCCTCCCTCTCAAGTTCTGGCCTAGGTGGAAGCCACACGTCCGCCCCTGAGAGGTGAGCTCACCCTCTCACTTGGGGCTACTGTCCTGGTGGGAACAGGGTATTTGGAGGCCAGAGCTCGGCACTAGTGGGGGCCCGGGGGCTTCTCCCTCTGGCAGGAGAGCACCCTGACCTCCCTCGACCTCGCAGACACGGGGGCCGGGGCAGGGACTCCCCCTCCCAGCTGCTTCCTAAGCCCTCTTTTCTCCTCACTTCTGCTAAGATGATCCGGAATGCTCCACTGGAGAGGCTGGGATGGGCAACAGTGGAGAATGTACTGAGGGCTCAGGACCGAGCAGCCAGACCCAAGCACTTTATTCAAACCCAGTCATGAGGTCTCCACTCTGAGGCATGGACAATCATTAGCCCCATTTTATGGATGAGGAAAGTGAGGCACAGAGCAGTTAAGTAACCTGCCCAAGGACACACAGCTGGGAAATGGTAGGGCCAGGATTAAACCCAGACCTTCAGTGCCGATGTGCTTAACTACTCCTTTACACACAGGGGAGACGAGGTCGAGGAACTGGACTCGTGTTTACCGAGCATTCCCCACGTGTCAGGTGTGTTCTGTCCACCTCCTCATTCTATGTTGAAAAACACTGAGGGCGAGGGGCATCACTGCCCCCATTTTGACAAACAAGGAAAGTGAGGCACAGAAGAGAAGTGTTATTCAAGGTTGTGGCGCTGCGAGTGAGTGCTAGCCTAGTCTGGCTGGTGCCAAAGCTGCCTCCTCCACAAAGCCCCACAGGCTTGCTGCTCAACTGCCACTGAGTCTATACCTGGAAACGTGCTGTTCTGACACACCCTGGACTCATCACAACAGTGACCACTTCCCATGACTGGCATGGCCTCTGGGGACGGGGGGACTGTGCCTGCTGTTTCCTGCAGTCCTCGGTAGAGCCCGGTGGAGGGCTGGGCCTGCAGGAGGTGCCCAGCAGACGCTGGTGAAGAATTAGATAACTGACAGTTTGACTGGAGGGAGATCAAGGTCAGCCACGGTGAGGACCCAGACACCACGCCAGCCCATAAGGGGACACCAGGCGTCCTTGCTGCTCTCTTCTCCCCTCACCCCTACGCCCCTAGCAAGAGTCAACTGAGGGAAAAGGACTCAGCAGCAAGAGAGACTGAAGCTAGACAACAGCAGGCACTGCCCGACAGAAGGGCGACTGATCTCAATTCACCTTCAGAGTCAGGTATCCAGCAGGACCCACAGTAGGGGTGGTGAGAGCGCAAGAGGCGGCTCAGAGGTGGTCCCACTGCCGCAAGTGAGCAGATGCGGACAGGGGAGGGCTGCTAGACGCAGAGAATACGAGCCTCGAACGATGAAGATGGGGCAGGTGTGTAGAGGCGGGTCCAGGCAGCGGGCAGAGCGCGCAAAAGCCAGGAGGCAGGGAAGGCGGCGGGGAAGGGACGCAAAGGCCGGCACAGTGGCTGCCGACAGGCCAGAGCATGCGGCTGCACCAAGAGCAAAGGAAGGTTCTGGGCGGGAGACCCACAGGGCCAGGCTGACCCTCAGAATCATCCCAAGATGCCCACCCTCTCAGCCTCTGCTGCTGGCAGCCCCACGCCCCCTCCCTCGGCCTCTGGGGTCTCTAACGTGGCATTCCCCTCTCGCCTCTATTTCTCGCCCCACCCTGTGACCCGTTCCCAGCCCACACTGACAACTCCAGTTTGTCTCCAACCTGGACCTCTCTCCCAGCTTCTGACACCGCCTGGCCTCCAGCAGTTCCGTCTCCCGAGCATCTCCGAGCTCGCACATCTGGGACGAGCTCACCATCCTGCCCAGGCTCGCTCCCCTCAAGCACAGACTCAGACGCACAGGTGATCCCGGCCTCCCCACTCCAGGTCCCATCCATTAGCAAATGCCGTCACCAGCCAGGGTCTGCCCCAAGTCCAGCCACTTCTCTCCCTCCGCCCCACGCTCCTGGCCCCACTGCTGTGGCCTCGTTGCCAGTCTCCCCCATCTGCTCTCACCTCCCTAGTCCGTTCCCCGCAGCAGCCTGAGGGCCCCACCTCAAGCACCCTGCAGAGCTCCTTCCCGCTGCTCTAGAACAACCGCGAGCCCTCAGGGCCCACCCCAGCCTCTGCTCACACCCCGCCCCCGTCAGGGCCGCTCGCCAAGGCCGACCCTTTGGCCCAGATGCTGCCCAGCTGGGTGCAGGCCACCTTCTCAATCTCCCAGCTCTGGCTAAACCAATGGGACCTTCTCAGAGGCCCTCGACCACCCTGAACAGGGGCCCCACCATCCTCCTCTCTCCCGTTACCTTGTTTATTTCCTAAGCTCTAAGTCAAAAGGCATGAGCCCGAATCTGGACAAGCATTCGTTCACTTGCCCCTTTATTCACTCATTCATTCCACAGATACATACTGAGCATCTACTACAGACCACGGATTGTTCTAGGCACTGGGGACTCAGCAATGACGGAACACAGGCCCTGCCCTCAGTCTAACGGGACAAGCCAGCAGGCAGGCACGCGGGCACACGCGCACACTGGGTGCACTCCCGGAACAGACACCTGGGAAGTGGCTGGTGCTGTGCTGCCTGGAGGCAGGCGGCTGGACGGCACAGCCTCTGCCCACCCCCCCGATCTCTAACCACCTAGGAGGACGCATTCTGGAAGTCTGGGCACCGCCTGGAGCTCATGATGCTCCCTTGGTGGCGAGTGCAGGTGGCTGTGCGGGTGAACGCCCCTCCCCAGAGGCAGTAGCCACACAGCTCTGAGGTCAAGGAGCCTGAATTCTCTCCCAGGGCCGCCCGACTCTCTGTTAAGTTACAGAACCCACTCCTTCCACCCCTGCCCATCGGGGGCCTGCTGTTGACCCCTGCCCAGCCTTTACGCCCAGCACTGCAAGCCAGGCCCAGCCTGGGGGTAAGGCCAGGCCCCCGGCCCCCGCCCTGTACCTCTTAATGACAAAGTGGATGCTGTGCCGCTCCTCCAGGATCCGCTTCAGCTTGGGGACCCCATAGGTGCAGGGGCGTTTGAAGGGGATCTTGTCTGGGATGCCCACGATTTCCACAGCCTCTGGGTCACAGGCGATCTTCCTGTAGGGGACGGGGACCATGTGGTCCAGGCCCAGGGCTTCCGCTGGAAGGGCAAGGGCAAGGCTGAGCGCAAGATGGAGGCGGCAGGACACGCAGGGCCCTGGGGCCGCAGTCATCATCACCTCCCACCTCCCAGCACCACTCCACCACGCAGCGCCCAGAGAGATCCTGCTGAAAAGTCGAACCATGGCCCTGCTCGCTTAAAGAACAGCCCGGGATCCCATCTCATGCGGTGACAGCCCAAGTCCCACCCAGGGCCCCCGAGGCCCTACATGAGCATGACCCCAGCACCTCTGACCTTATCGCCCTCCCTCCACCCCTCTGCTCGCTCAGCCCGCTCTCTCCGGCCTCCTGTTGCTTCCCCAACGTGCCAGGCCCACACCCACCCCAGGGCCTTTGTACTTGCTCCTCTGGCTCCTCAGACACTTTTCTCCCTGCTGACCGCACACTCCCCTCCCTCCCTCTCCATTCCAGCGTCCGCTCAAACGTCACATCATCAGCCTCAAAAAGCCCCCTCTGTCCCTCCCTGGCCCCCCACTTTGTTTTTCATCCCACGTTTATCACAAGCTGGCATTACAAACATTCACGTATGCGCTAGCGGTGTGGAACCGGCGCTCCGCGGGGGCGGGGTGACCGTCCACGTCTGGGATCTTGATGGGCCAGGCTGGGACACAAGCCGCTGCTCCCTACGTGCTCGGGAGCGAACCAACGGCTGAAGGAAGTGTCATGGCACTTGGCAGGACACCTCCAGCGATACAGGAGGGCCATTTCCTCCAGGGAGGGCTCGGCACCCCTCTCGCTCAACAGCAAAATGAATGAGACACCAGCCGGAAGCTGACAGCTCTGCCAACAGCAGTGTAGACAGAATCCGGGCTCATGAAGTGATGACTTATTCTTTTCTTCTGGACCGTTGGGTTTGGTCTTGTGCCATTTCATCATTTACTCACAGCCCAGCTCTGAGTTTTCATTCATTCACTCACCAAATACTTCTTGGCCACCGACTATGTTCTCAATGGGACTTCCATGGGTCCCCTGTTCCCCCCAGGGCCTGGGAGGTCTCAGGAGACGAGCTGGGCTGGTGTCCACTTCAATCTTGCCTGGTCACTCCAATCCCTCCCAAGGGTCCCACGTCTCTTCATGGTTCCTCAGGCCCCTCCCCACCCTGGCCTTGCTCTTCTGGCCACATCCTGCTTTGTCTGTGTCCCGACAAGTGCAGCTCAGAGCAGACCCCCTGCCAGCCACGCCCTGACTGGCCGGGCAGAGCTGTCTGGGGCCCTCCCCGGAGCGCCGTCAACACTGCTCTCTGTGGATGCAGCCCAGGTCTGCGTTGGCGGCTCTGGCAGCCAGATCCCACTGTGAAGTCACACTTAGCTTGTTGTCAAATTAAACCCTGGAAATCTCAACAGCTGTCAAACCAGCTCTTTCCCCACCCCCGCCCCCGGCCACCCCTCGGCCCCAGCGCTTGAGCGGCGGGTTCTGCAAGACTCCGTGAATTCATCTCCTCTTGGGTTCCTCTGATCTGCTGGGCCTGTCTCTTCAGCTGCACAGCCACCCTGGGGACAGAAGCACGGCCCCACCCGGCCTCCAGCTGCTGTGCGCTGGGACAGGAAAGCAGCCACCAGGCACAGTCCTCGTCTGTCGTCTAGTCTCAACCTCCTCCCCATCGACAATTCCTGGAGGCTTCCCGAAGGCTCGAGTCCTCCATTCCTTTTCTGGTTTGTTCCCTCTGCACCCCCAGGCCCATCGCTGACCCACATCAAGCAGAGCTGGTGGCTGGAAGGGTAGAACCAGGAGCAGGATCTGCTCGTCCAGGGTCTGCGGGATGCCTCAGGCCGCCAAACAGTGACCCCCCCATGGAGCCCCCAAACACTCCTGGGGAGCTTCCTTCTCCCCAGGCAGCTGAGGGGAGCTCAGAGGGAGCTCTGGCCTGAGGAGGGCAAGGCTTCAACCCCTCCATGCCTAACACTCCTCCTTGGATTTGGCCATGCAGAAGCCCCAGGGTTAACACCTGGGAAAGGCTCAACATTCTGGAAACATCCCGAGCGCACAACGGGACAGAAGACTGGTGGCTGCTCGGCCAGCTCAGTGGGGGCAGAGCCCTCCCAAGGCAGACAGAGCCAGCCCTCGCCAGCTCCCCTCCCCCATCACCCACCAGGCTCACACCTGCCTGGGGTGGGGAGAAACTCAGGTGCAGACAGCCTGGGCAGTACTGGGCAGAGGGGAGGCGTGGCTGGGCCAGGGTGGCCACATGGAAGGCTCCTGTGCTATCCCAGACTTCTCACTAAGCCTCAAGGCCTTGCTCAGCCCCAACTCAACACGGAAGGCACAGCCCGCCAGGCCCACATGCCCAGAGCAGTCCCAGCGTGGACCAAAGGGCCCCTCCTCCATGAAGCCCTCCCTGACTGCCCAAGCCTGTGGAGACCTGGCCTTCCTCTGTGCCATGCTCTCTGCGGGCCCCACCAGACACACTCCCACACACCAGCGTGTAGCACTGCAGGCTACCGTGCGCGGTGGTGTGCGTTGCAGACACGTCTTCAGATACCCACTGACATACCCCGAGACCAGAGTGGGCCTGAGAGCCTGGCACAAGGTGGGAGCTCAAAAGACTGGCAGGGCTGGCAAGTGAGCGGACCAGCAACTGCAGGAGAAGAACAAAGAAGCGAGGGAGGCAAGTGTGAGGCATGATGTAAGGAGCACACACTGGTCTCCAACTCTGGTTCCGGGTGCGAGAGCGCCTGTGTGTCGTTGCCCCATGGGCATCTTCTGTTATTCATGACTAGTCCCCTGCAACCTTCCTGAGTTCACCCAAGGTGACTTGAGGGGCCCCCAGATGCTCCGGGGTGGGGGTCGGGCACCAGAGGACAGCCCATGTGACTCGAGGATTGAAGCTTTGAGCCCCGGCCTCCTGGCACTAATCACCCACGGCTGAGGACGAAATCAACCGTGCCTACTTAAGGGAACCTCGGTAAGAAAGCTAAACACAGGGGTTCAGAGGACTTCCAGACCGATGAATTCATGTGCCAGGAGGGGTGCACTCCATGTTCCACGGGGACAGAAGCTCCTGCGCTCGAGACCCTCCAGAAGGAGCTTGCTCTATGTCTCTCTTCATCTGGCTGTTCACTTGTATTCTTTATAACAGACTAGTAAATCTAAGTGAGCGTTCTGAGTTCTGTCAGTCATTCTGGCAAATCACTCCAAGGAGGGGGTCAGGGGAAGCTCAGATACGTAGCCAAGTCAGATAGAAGTGTGGGTACCCTGGGACCCCCTACCTGTGATAGGCAACTGAAGTCTTGTGGGACTGAGCCCTCAGCCCATGGGGTCTGCGTCACTCCAGGAGGTTAGTGCCAGAATGGAGCTGAACTGTGAGACGCCCAGCAGGTGTCCACAGAGAACTGGAGAACTGCTTAATGTCGAAAACCCCACACTTCTGGCGTCAGAAGTGTCGTGGGCAGAAAAAAAGACTTTTCCTTTAGCGAGGCAGGAGGGGAGGGAGGAAGAGGAGGAAAAGAGGGCTGAGAGAACGAGAGAAGGAGAGAGAAGGATGGGGGCAGGGAGGGCGGGAAAGCCCCACCCCATCAGATCCGTCATGGTGGGAAGGCCAAGGTTAGGGAGGGAGACTGGCCAACTCAGGTGGTCGGGCAAGCGGCCGCAGACTCCCAGGGCGCTGCTTTCCCCCACCCCCATGTGCAGGGAGTGCTGAGCCCGACCCTCCCCCCCCCCCGCCCCGTCCCCACAACTCTGTGTAGAGTCCCCCTCCTCCCCCCGCCCCATGGAGCAGAGGGACTCCCCCACAGTGGGGCTTCCCAATTCAGGTGGTGCTGAGTGACCCCACACCTGTGTGCCCACGGAGTGATCTGGGGGTATCTGTGCCACCACCCCAGTGACTGAGAGCCACCCACCCAGGCAAGGGCCACATTGCGTCCGAGCACCAAGTGGGGCTTACGGATACAGCTCAGTAAGACTGAGTGGGCAGGCCAGTGAGAGGGAGGGAAGACTGCCGAGGAGACAGGGTGTGGGAGGGCACGGTGGACCAGCCATGGGAAGGTCTCAGAGGCCATCTGGTCCAGCTTTCACCCTCCAGTCACCCAGGGGCTACACTGTCCACTTGGCCTGAAGCTCAGCCAAATGGAGGACACGCCTGCCCCAGGTATCACCCACATTTTCTGCCCAGAGTACGGCGGGCTGACACGTGCTCTGAGCCCAGCTCTGCCCTGGGTGCTGGGGACACAGAGAGGGACCGGCGCAGTCCTGGCTGTCACAGGACAGACACAGACAAGGCACGTCAAGTGTGCGATGTGTCATGGTGAGGAAACCATTAGGGCTTCAGGAGGCCACCTGGCCCAGGCTGAGGCTCAAAGAACAAGTTCTACGCTGGTTCCTGACCTAGAGGATGCAAAAGGCATTCCAGGCAGAGGGCCCGGCACAGGCACAGACAAGGCAGCAGGAACTGGCGTGGTGCTGTGCGGAACCTGCAAGCACGTGAGCCCAGCAGCCGTTTGTCTGGGCCCTCTGCTGGTCCCCCAGACGGGCATCTGTCCCCGACCTGCCCGCCTCCCACAGGCGACTCAAGGTCTGGGGCTCTGCCATCAGTCCCACCCCCCTGCGAATCTGGAAGGGAAATATTGACACAACCACCCCCGCCCCAGACAGGAGATGACATTAGCGTTGACGGCGCGCGGGTGCCAGCATATGGCTCCCGCTGTTGTGTTGGGGAACACAAGTGACTGCCATGTAATGAGATGCTCAACACGCTGCTGGGGCCGCCCCGCGGGCCGTGCCGCCCACTCACCATATCTGCTGTTAAACAGGATCTGCACGCACTCCCGGAGCGTGTTGATGTCCTCTGTCTCCTTTATGAAGGCGTCCCACTTCTCTATCAAAACACAGGAGAGATCAGTGAGGGCAGGTCCGAGCCGGGAACCCTGGCCTGGCTGCCTCATGATGACCCACCGGTTCCTTGCTGCCCAGGGTCGCCCCCCGGACCCCTCCTGCCCCAGACAAGGGGAGGTGGGAGAGTGGGCTCCCCCAAGTAAGGAGAGGCTGAGCCTTGACCTCGAAGACCCAACCCTAGTGCCTCGTCCACCTGGGTCTCACCCAAACCCTGAGCCCTGCTGGCCTCTCCGTAAAACCAAAGCCGCTGCCTCGGTTTAATATCAATAGCAAGCGTGACCATTTGGTTCATTATAACCATAAAAATAACATCTTTAGTTTATGAAGTGCTTATCTGTGCTAGCTACCTTATATATATAATATCCTATTTAATCCTTCATGACGACTTTTAAACAGAGGTGTCAGTTCCATTTTTCAGATGGGAGAACTGAGGCTCAGAGAGGCTGAGTACCTTGCCTGAGATCACTCAGTTAGAGGCTGGTGAGGTTCTGTCTCAGCTCGTACCCGTTGCTCACCGTGCCCTCTCATGATCATGATGCTGCTCCATGTGGATATCCAGGTCCCATCCCTGCCAGGATGGACCTTGTGTAGGGCAGTGGGGCTCTCTACTCTGATCCCAAGGAATTAGGTTTTCTTAAAGGGCCTCTCTCTGGAGCTGAAGCTGGGACATCCACAAGGCGAAACTGCTGGAAAGTCTGACCTCATCCCTTTGTGGGATAAACGAATCCCACATTTTCCTGCTCTCAGTAGTCTGAGTGGTACTTTTTAACCTGTCCATGTATTTTTTTATACTCCTTCCTTCAAGAGCTGGAGCTTTGCTCCCCTCTCTCCCCTTGAGTGTGGACTGGATCAAGTTTCTGGCTTCTAACAGGGAGAATATGATAGAAGGGACAGTGATCCCTGAGGCAAGGCCACCAAAGACACGTGGCTTCCTCCTCTCTCTCGGATCGTTGACCTCAGGAAACCAGCTGCCGTATCGCGAGGATGCTCGAGCAGCCCCACAGAGGCCCATGTGTGAGGCACAGGCCTCCTGCCAAGGGCCACGGGGGGACCTGGAGTGGAGCCTTCAGCCCCGAGCAAGCCCCAGCTGACATCTCGATTACAACCTCAGGAGCGATCCTGAGCCAGGACCACCCAGCTAAGCTGCTCCTGAATTCCTGAGCCACTGAAACTGTAACGTACAAATGCTGTGGTTTTAAGCTAAGTTTTGGGGCAATTTGTTACACAGCAACACATAACTACAGCTGTGCGTTGCTTCACGATGGAGATGCATTCTGAGAAACGCACACGGTGCATTAGGCAGTTTTGTTGTTTCGCGAACATCACGGTGTGTCCTTACACAAACCTGGATGGTACAGCCCACCACACGCCCAGGCTGCGTGGTACTATCTACAGGACCCCTGTCGTGTGTGCGGTCCATTGCTGATTGAAATGTCGTCATGCGGTGCATGACTGTATTCCACTCTGGCACAGAGCTGTTCCTTTCTCTCACGAAGGCCCGGTGGCCACATCTCCATCTCGGTAAGCACCACCCCCATCTCGGTAAGATCCCCACGCTGGTCAGGGGGCTGCCATGGGCACCGTCCTACCTGACTTGTCGTGGACGATGGAGAAGAGAATGCGCTTAGAGGCATGGACATTCTGAATGAGAGGACCACCAGGCCCGGTGGGCTTCTGTCCTGGACAAGGGAGAGGAAAGGTACAGGGTCGACGGGGTCCCCAAGAGGGGTTCCCCAGATCCAGCCTGAGTGCACAGGCTTTGGTTCTCGGGTAATGGTCTCACCCACCCAGGAGACCCCAGATCTGAGACCTGTGATCATGAACTCAGGCAGGTCCCCTGACCAGACGCCTGAGATATTCTCTAGCAGAATCTGCCATCCAAGTGGCAGATGAGGGAGGATGGGATGTCTGAGGTCACCTTGTACAGGTGGGGACACTTGTATCAGGCATGAGGTCCCATTCCCCTGCTCAGCCCACACACTGTGAAGGGGGGGGGTGTCCTTTCCTCTCCTTCTCATAATAACAATAACAGCAAGTATAACTTATAAGCACTTGCAACGCACCAAGCATTGACTTGGTGCTTTAACAGAGCAGTTCTCAAACTTGGGCACACGTCAGAACCCCTTGGCGGACCTGTCAACACACAGATAGCTGTGCCCCACCCCAAAGCTGCAGATTCAGCAGGACTGCAGTGGGCCTGAGGATGTGCATTTCTAACACGCTGTCGTTTAGTCATGATGACAACCCTGCAAGCCAGGTACTACTGGAATCTCCATCTTATAGATGAGGGAATTGAGGCTCAGAGAGGTAGACATTTGCCCTGGGACACAAGGCCACACAGGAGAGGAGCCAGGAGATGAACCCAGGTCCTTCTCATACCTGGCTGCTCCTTCTGTTATGTGTCCAGTACCCCTCATCCAGGCTGGGTATGCAGTAGGCGCTCATTAAATGCATGTGACTGATCAGCAGGTTTACTTCCTCCATAGACTCCTCTGGGAGTCCCCTCGGGCATCTCTTGGTCCCAGGCCAAGGACGCTGTTCACAGATGGCTGAGAGGGGGCCAGAGTCTGACTGGGTCTAAGATAGGATGCCACCTGTCCCATCCCAGCCCCTTGTCCTGACCTGCCTACTTCAGCCTGAGACCTGCCCTGGGAGGGGCTCCACATGAGTGCCCTCTATCCCCCCCAGACCCAGGGCCCCAGCAGCAGCTTACCACAGCAGTCAGGGAACTCCTGAGCCCCCAGGGCCTTGGGCTCAGGGCCGGCCCGGCTGAGGCCCACGTCGCCGGGGGTGAGTGGGCAGGTGGGGGCCTCCTGCTTGAGCTCTCTCATGGGGTGGCTGGGGAGCGTGGGGCTGTAGAGGAAGCTTGCCACAGAAGAGGAGGGGGCGGGGGGTGGCAGGTCCTGGGGCGGCCCCTTGGGGGCCGGGCCGTGCAGGCTGCATTCCCGAGCCCCCTTGGCTACCAGGGAGACGCCGTTCAGCTCCACCAGGGCCTTCGAGTCCCGCCCACCATCCTCGAGTGGCCTGGGTGAAGGAAAGGACACACGATGGCTTTGCACCATGTCTGCCGGTTGTCTCTCTCCTCCACCGTCCCCAGCTTCCCTCTGCAGAACACGATGGCCTGGGAGGTGCACGGGACATGAGCTAGTACCCATGCTACTGGGGGCTGCAGGCCTGAGGTGGGGTGTGACATGCCCAGGGCCACACGTCTGGGTCACCAGAGGACCCAGGGCCTGCCCCTTGGCCCCTGTGCCCCCAGTCCCCCTATTGTGTCCTCTGAGCTGCCATTGATTGTCACCCGTCTCCTATCACATCCCTTCTCTTCCAAGCCTGCACGCTGGCAGTAGGCCTGAGCACCAACGGGCAGTGTCAGGCCCCAGGCTGGCCTCCTGGCTGCAGCAACAGTTGGGGGACCTGCTGCGGCCCAGCCTCCACAACCTCATCTCCCATCCATCCCCAGTGTGACCTTCGGTTCACAGCCCAAGCGCACACAAAACGTGGTCCCCTGCCTCCACACTTCTGTATGGCCCTTCCTGACGCCCGGAGCACTGCTGGTGCAACTCCTGCCTGTCCCCTGGGGAGGGCTCCATGACTCGAGGCCCGGCTCAGATCATGTTCCATGACTGTTTTTGCCTCCCCTCCACCGTCAGGCTGGGAGCTTTTACAACTGGGTCCCGTGTGGGTGCTAAGGCCCTCCCCTCTGGCTGGGTAAGTGGCCACGGGTGGCTGAGCCAGCAGGGAAGCAGGTCACCCTCCTGGCCTGGCCTGGCCCGGTCCTCCCAGTCCAGCCGCCAGGCCCTGGCCCACTCCCAGGCCGGTTGCCTCACTCACCTCTTAAGCTTGAAGCGGATACGGTGGCTGTGCTCCAGGATGGCCATGAGGGCCTTGGGGTCATACTCGGCCGGCCTGCGGAAGGCCAGGCCCTCGGGCAGCCCCTGCACAGCCAGCAGCCCTGGCTCCCTGAGCAGCCTCTCGTAGGGAAGTGGCACCACGCTGGCCCTTCCCAGGGCCTCGCCTGTGGGGAGGGGGTCGAGGAGAGGGCCTAGTATGAGCGGGCAGCCAGGCTGGGGGTGCGGGCCACGCTGAGTGACTCCCTGTGCTGCTGCGTTCCCAGGAAACTAGACCCCACAGGCCCCCTAACTGCAAACTTGACATAGAATAACCCCCTGCAGGCTGTGAGTGGGGTGGGCCTTAGGGCGGGGCTCCCCCATCATGGGGCTCCCTGCTTCTGTCCTCATTCTCATCTCCACTCCAGGCATGTGGGTGGAGGGGAAAGCAAAGCCCGAGCCGCACGCAGGAGGTGAAGAGGAGAGAAAGAGAAGAGGGCAGGCGAGAGACTGCAAGGAAAAGCCATAGGGAGGAAGCGAGGGGAGGGAGGAAGGGATGGAGGGCGGGAAGAAATGCAGAGGAAAGAAAAAGAGGAATTTGGAAAAAGAGAGAGGAGAGACAGAGAAGAAGGCGAGGGGAGGGGACAGTGGCTGGGGACTGAGAGGGCAGCCGAGGGACCTGGGCTCAGGAACATCGCTGTCGCCCCAAACCAGAGCCAGAAAGAGGCCCCTCCCCTCATAGCCACTTCTGACTCTGCCCGAGGTGGGGAAGGGGGCCAGGGCAGAGTGGGCTGGGGCAGGGGCTCTGGGCACGAACCCTGCAGCCAGCAAAGGTATCTGCAGTGGCAGAGCCACCCACGGGTGACAAGTCCTGCCATCCCAGGGCAGCCAGCATGCCCCTCCCCCCTCGGCCTCCTCCCACCGACATGTAGACAGCAGCGGGAGCTTCCTTTGCTCCACAGAACCAAAGGCTGCGGCAGGGGAAGGGATCAAGAAGGATAATCAGGTGGGACCCCCGGGGCCCCAAGGGACCTGCAGAAGGTCACCTAGGGAGTGTGAAGGCCACCACAGGGGCTGAGAGTCTGTAACCTGACACTTCCCAAGGAAGGCCAGGCCTGCCCCCACGACCCCCACAGGAGGGACTTGGCTAATCAGTGGGCCTTCACTCAGTCATTCAACAAACACCCTTTGAGCACCTGCTGCTGGGCCTGAACTGCTGCTTGGGGACAGCAGAAAGGGGAGGCACAGTCCCTCACCCTGGAGAGCAACAGGGATAGGGAGGGAACAGGACAGCACACAGTGGGTACCCAGAAGGGCCCTAACCCAGCGCAGGGGGCTTCCCGGAGCTGAGCCTTAGAGAGTAATGAGGGGTCCAACAGTCAGAGCAGGAGAAGGCACAGTCAAAGGCAAGGAGGTGTGAAATGAAGCCAGAGGGCAGGGACAGCGGAAGTGGTGCTGAGGGGAAGGTCAACAGAGCTAGAGGCGGGTGGGGCTGGAGGGGGGGGCGGGGCCAGGCCATGGTGGGCGGGGCTAGGCCATGGCAGGTGGGCCAGGCTGTGGTTGGCGGGGCTAGGCCACGGTGGGTGGACACGCCATGCTGAGGGCAACCGGGAGCCCATGAAGGTGGTGTAGGGAGGTGCTTCCGGGCAGACTTGTGCTTTGGGAAGACGCCCTTGGTCACAGGGCAGGTGGGGATGACAGAGAGCGAGGACACCAGGGCAAGCTTGGGCCCATCTCCAGGTGGGGTGGCCCTGACCAGCACCAGGGCAGGCGGGGCAGTGGGAACGGTGGTTCAGGAAATGATGCAGCAGATCCACGCCTGGGGCTGTAGGATGAGGGAGCGCCGGGGGCGTCGGGGGCGTTGCCCCCACACCTTGAGGTTTCGCTCAAGGCCCGTGCTGGGCAGGAGGGGCTCCTCTGCTGTGTGGGGACAGGGCTCCCGCCCGCCTGGGGGCCCCAAATGGAATGAGGAAGGATCTTACTATAAAGAACATCAAACACCTCCTCTACCATCTTCCGCAGAAGGTACACGTCCGAGCCGTGCTCCAGGGAGGACCGCGGGATGCTCCGGCTGCCACCCTCGCCCCGTGCCACCTTCTTGGGGTGCTCTGCCTCCGGCTCCTTCCAGGGGGACCCTCCTGTGGGACACAGAGCATGGGGCCATGGTGAGCACCCATGCTCAGTGAGCTGGGATGTCCCTGCCGGGTACTGAGCCCTGCAGTCGGGCACCCAACATGGAGTGCAAATGAGTGAATGAGAGAGGAATTAATGAGTGAGCAAGCCCTGCCCCAACCACCCACCCTGCCCAGGGCCAGGGCTGGTCATCTCAGAGTTCCCAGTGCCCAGCATAGGGCCTGGGTCTCATCCCCTAGTCATCCCTAACTTGCTGTGTGACCCTGGGCAAGTCCCTTCCCTCTCTGGGCCACAGTCTGTGAGTTCCTACAGGAGACTAACTGGCCTGGCTCAGAACGGGGGTTCGAATGTCCGTTTCACCTGCCCCTTTCTGTGCTCTGACTAACACTCTGTCTTAATCAGTCAAGGCCCCAGTTTTCTGCTCTGCCAAACGGGGAGATGATGGGGATGCCACCAGGAAGCCGAGGGGCTGCAAAGAGGCAGGTTCACACCAGGCTGGGCCAGGGTGGAGGCCTAGGAGTGTCAGTGGATCCTTGGGTGGGGAAGAGGCTAGGAAGCATATTGGAAAGGGGACGAGAGGAGGGCCCTGAGGCCCCCTCCCAGCTCAGAACCTGCTCTCCTCCGGGGATGTGTGAAGCTTGAAATAAACCAGCCTGAGTTCCCGGCGCTATAAATAGCGGCTCTGCCTGGCTCCGCAAAGCCAGGTGCACCTTCCCCAGGCCCCAGCCTGGCACCCAGCTTGGCCAACTGGGGGGCACAGGACCCTGCCCGCCCTACCCTACTCCAGCCCAGCCCCCTGCCCAACCCTGGAGGGCTGAGTGGGAGGGAGGGCTGGTCAGGGAAGCGGCTGGACCCCAGGAATGATGTGCCCAGCGTCAGGGGACAGCCTTTCCTGAAACAGCTGCACCCAGGATGATGGTAAGTACAAGTATTTATTGAGTGTGAACTGAGTGCTAGGCACCGTCTGAAGTGCCTGCCATGTATTGGTTCATTTAATCCTCAGACTGACCTGCGAGGAGGGGAGCCTGTTGTGCCCTTTCTCAGATGAGGAGCTTGAGGCCCAGGAGGCAGCAAGTGGCAGAGCTAGGGTATGGCCCCAGGCGCCTGACCCCAGGGCCTGCTCGGAGTCGCAGATGGTGGGCTCGAACGCCCACTCAGGTGCTGGCCTTCAGTGGCGGGGCCAGGCCCTAACCCCGCAGGACCCAACCCACCACAAAGGTCACGCTGAGCTCTCTCCGGAGCTTACCGGCAAGTGGGAGAACCGAGCGCGCGGATGGAAATTCGGGGCACAGGAGGCTGGTGCAGCACCGGGAGCAACCACAGGCTGGGTGCCAGGGTCCGGGGGCGTGGAGGGGGCCCCAGGCGGGAGGAATGTGAATGTGGAGGCAGAGCAGGTGTCTGCCTGGCAGAGGGGAGAATGAGGGCCTTCCAGGTGGGGGGACAGCAGGGCAAAGGCAGAGGGGAGAAGGGTCACCAGCTCCAGCACCTCCAGAGTGCAGCCTGGGTGAGCGCACAGACGCGGGGAGGAGAGAACGCGGAGGCAGCTGCTGGTTCTGTGGGGCCCCGAAGGCCCAGGTGGCGTTGAAGGGTTGGGGGCTTCAGAACACCCGCCACCTCAGGGCTCCCAGCTCACAGGTTGAGTGCTTGTCTCTTGGAGAGCAACCAGGACCCCTGGCAGGGCTCCCAAGGGTGGCCGTGGTGCATCTCCCCGATTTTGAAGGGGTGCAACAGAAACAGCATAGCTTTCAGAACCAGAGACCCAGCCTGGAGCCTGCCTCCACGTGTTGGCTGTGTGCCCCTGGGGAAGCGGCTATGCTCCTTGTGCCTCGGTTTCTCATTTGTAAACCGGCGGTTACCGTCTCCTGAGCCTGCTGGGAACAGTGCACAGCACACAGCAGGTGGCCGGCCCGCAGCATGATGCATCGTAACATCACTAACCGCTAGAGCTCATCGAGCATTTCCTACATGCTAGCGTGTGCTCAGTCACTTTGTCCCCAGGAGCCACTAGGAGGCGACTCCAAAATTATGTGACCATGACAGTGCCAGTGCCAACCTCACAGGTTGCCGTCAGGATAAACGTGTTAGCATTGGAAAGGGAGTCGCATACAGCAGGCGCTCAATGAGCATTAGCTGAACAAGTACACTCAGTTGCCGTGTTAAGGATGCACAGGAACCAGGCAACAACACTGGGCCTCAGTGTCCCCTCTATCAATGAGCAGATGGAGGGGCTGGGGCGGGCCCATCCTGGGGTTCAGGCAGCCAGAACAGAAACCAGGGCTGCCCCGATGATGCCATGTCAGGAAGCTTGCAACCCCTGCCTGGTCCAGTGCATCCCCTGAGGGCCACGCTTGTGTCCCTCCAGGGCCCGGGAGCTCCCGCAGGCCCCAGCCCTCCGAGCCCAGGGTACTCACGGCAGAACCTGAGGAAGTCCGACTGCAACTCCTTCCGCGCGTTCAGGAACAGCCTCCCCTTCTCGGTGCCCACCACGAAAGCGCTCTCATCGTGCACAGCCACACAGGCCACCTCTGCGTTCAGCTTGGACAGCGCCGAGCACTGCGGGGGAGCAGGGCATGTGAGCCAGGGAAGGCCCCCAACTCGGGCACCTCCAGTGCCAGCTCTGGTGGTGGGACGTGAGCTCCCAGCTGCCTGAGACCCCACCAGCAGCTCCCGGGAGACGTCACCCCGCCAGCGTTCTCAGTCTTAGAATCTGCAGTGGGAATGAAAGAACGACCCCAGATCGGCCAAGGGCGGGGAGAAGCTAAGCTCACGAGGCCTGGAGGGGGACAAAGGCATGTAGCGTCTGCGCCCCTCCTCCCAGGTCCTCCTTGCTCCAAGGGGGGCTTCCTGCCTCTGGCCTGACCCCAGCCCCAGGGACAATGCTGTCCTGGGCTCTCGAAGTCCCAGATGAGGAGGGGGTGGGATGGGCCCCAGGAAAAACAAGGCTCAGACAGATCCAGGCTTCAATACCCTATCAGCTACTTCCTGCTTGGGACTGGGACAAGGCCCACCCCTCTCTGGGCCTCAGTTTCCAAATCTGTAGATGGGGACCAGCGGCCCAGTTCTCAGGGTTTCAATGGGCTTGGCTGTGGGGGTTCAATGAGGACTGGTTGGCACGATGGAATGTCTAACCCAGGACCTCCCGTGCAGGCACACAGGCAAAGAGCTGACTTTGGCAGCCCCAGAGTTGAGGCTGGCAGGCCCACTGCACAGGAAGCCCTAACACAGGGGGCCCTGCGACCAAGACCACCAGGATCTCAGGCCCTGACCCACCTCACCAGGAAAACCCTGCCCGCAAAGCTCGCAGCTCGCAGTCGGAACCCGACAAATCTGGTTTTTATCTGAGTTAGATAGCACTCTGCTGACGGTCAGAAAGTCTCACTCTAATGGTTCTGTTGCTGTGTGAACTAGGGCAGGTTCCTCAAACTCTCTGGGCCATGATCATGCCTCTTGCGCCATCTCCAGCCCAGAGTCACTCTTGTGGGGAACCTGGGACGTCATAGGACTAGCAGGCCTGTTCCCTGAGATCTCCTATGGTGTGTGTGTGGGGTGGTTCATCTCCTGCTAAGATTAAAACAAAAACCTGTGGCTGCCTTTCCCAGAGGCAACACTGTGAACCCTGATAAATAAATCAGACCAACAGATTCAGATGTTTCCCACAAAGGAACAGCCATCAGAGCTGGAGGAGGTCCTTGGCCCAGTGGTCACTGCTCAGCTGAAGCAGCTGAGGCTACAGCAGGGAAGGCTCAGAGACGGGGGGCCATGAGGAGACCCTGGAAGAGGGTCTGAGATGGGGGAGGGGCGATGAATGGGCAGCACCCACCCCCCGCAGACCCCGAGGATCCTGGCCCCGAGCCCTGAAGGACACCACCATTAAGTTACCGCCGAGCAAGGGCCATTGTCACCCATGAGGGTCCCTCAGGAAACGCACAATGGGCCCCAGGGCTGGGGAGCCCGTCTTGTTCATGCCACCAGGAGAGCTGAGGGTCACGGCTCCTCCAAGGAGCCTCTGAAACGCCCTCCAGACCAGCGTTGTCCAACAGAATGTTCTGCAACGAGGGAAATGTTCCATTTCTGCACCACCCAATACTGTAGCCACCGAGCACTCGATGAGTGAATGCGCCTGAGCAAGCAAATTGTTTATTTTATTTAATTTTAACTAATTACAACTTAAATGTCAATCGCCACGTGCGGCTCATGGCTGTGGTGTTGGCCACCACCGACTACATGAGCTGTACCTCCACTGCCACTAGGGTGGCACTGCTGCAGGGCAGGCCTGAGATCCCAGGCTCGCCTCTTCGTGAAGGCCACTCTGCACAGCAGACGGGTCGCATCCAGTCGGCCTCCCCAGGGGAGCCCCCGAGCTCCGGCCCAAACACCCCCTAAGCCACCCTTGAGCCACCGACAGCAGGAAGGGCTGAAAGGAGGCCCTCGGTCCTTGGGGAACTGCAGACTTTGTACCTGGGAGCCCACTTTAAAAACCAGTCCTGCTGTGTGACTTCAGGCAAGGTACTGCCCTCTCTGAACTTCAGCTTCACCATCCCGGAATGCAGGGGACAGCCAACACTGGACAGGCTTTTTTTAACACCAGCCTACCCTCCACTGCAGACCTTCCCCACAGGAAAAGGCTGGAGGAAACGGACATTGTTACTTCCTCATGTGGGGTAAACTGCTACAGGGGAGGCATGGCAGCAGTGGCGCCAGAGGAGCAATTCTCGAGGCCCCAGGTCTCCCTCCCAGCCCCGAGATGAAGTGACAGCTCTTGTTTTAGCATCAGGGGTTCCAGCTCTCTCATGAATCCCCGCCCACGTGACCCTCCAGGACTTGTGAGGCTCAGGTCAGCAAGGCTCCCCTAAGTGGCAGGGTGGGAACTGCGCCCGATGTCTGGTCACGAGGGCCAGCGGGGCACTCACCATGGAGTCTAAGGCAGACACGAGGCTGGTGATGATCTCGTCCTTGCGGGTGAAGGTGGAGTTCCAGCGGTCGGGCCCGCAGCCGTTAGCGGGGATGTCGCAGCGCTTCCCCAGCAAGGCCATGGTCGCCTGTATGGAGGGAGGGAGGGAGGAGGTGGAGGTGGGTGTGCTCCGCCGGGCAAGGCACACATGGCGGCCACCCACCCCCACCCGCCCGGCCCCCGGACCTGCCTCTGCTGCCCAGGTGGGATGAAACAAGAGCTGGCGCCCCCTCTGCCCAAGGGTCTCACGTGCACGATGGACTTAGAGCTGCAACAGGCCTGGACACGCCACAGCTCGCACACGGCCCGTACAGGCGTGGGCACAGAGGCAGGATAACTGAGGGGTGTGCCCCACGGTACGTCCTTACAAGTCTGCACCCGCAGAGCCGAGTCCAGGACCATGATCCGTCTGCCCGGCAGGCCCCAACCGCCAACTCTCTCCCTGCACGCAGCTCCGGCCACAGCTCTCCCGTGCTCCCACACCCTCCCTGGCTCCCTGCTGTTCACATGAGCTCTGGACTCCTCAGCTTGGTATTCAAGGTTCCTGGTCTGGGCTCCTGTCCCTTGTCCCAACTTCCCCTCACACCCCACGCTCTGGGGAGTCTAAGCACCATCATCTCTAAACGAACCAACATCCTTCCTGGCTCCCCAGGCATCACTGGTTTCCTCCTCCCTGACCTGAGTGTCCTTCCAGGCCACTTCCTCCTCTCCTGACTGCTCCCTCAGCCTTGAATTGTCGCCTCTGCTGGGAAGGCGCCCTGACTGCTGCCCCTCCGGCCCCCTCCCCGCCCCCGCTGGCCTCCCCACATCCCTGAGCCCCTCCATCGCAGCTGTGTATCCAGCCACGTGCTCCCGCGGGCAAGGCAACTACCCGAGGCCTCTGCTCAGTCTACTTGCTGGCTGTCGGGACTCAGCCTCAGAGGTGCAGACGGATACCGCAGGGCAGAGGCCACTTCATCTCAGACCAGGCTTTCCCCAGGGCAGGACCCTGCCCTCAGCTCGGGGCTCCTGGAGGACAGAGCGCATCCTCCCCTCGCTGGGGCTCCCCCAGGCCTGCCGCCCCACACCACCCAGCCCGGCCCGGGCCCCCACTAGATACAAAGCTCAGGCCCCAGTTCCTGTTCCACCCTGTGCCTCCCTTCCTGACCCAAGGAATCAGGCCCAGGGGCCCCCCACAGGCTGCCCTGGCACCAACACCTTCCTCTGAGGCAGCTGCTCCCTCAGCAATCCAGGCAGAGGAGAGGGCAGAGGGCATAGGCAGGGACCTCGGTTTCCCTCTCTGAGCTCAGCCCCCTGGTGCTCTGTGCACGGCACGCAGTGCCGGCAGCCAGTTCCGGGGGCAAGCAGGGGCAGGGCTGCCGGTGTCGGGGGCCCATGAATGTGGTCGTCACTGCTTCCTGCAGACAGGCAGGGAGGAGTGTGCCCGCATCTGGGGGTGTACGCACCCCTGGGGTGCAAGGGGGTGCTGGGCAAGGACAGCTGGGCCTGGTCCTCCACCATGCCAGCTGCCCCTGGAGCGCAAGCCCTGTGAGGGCAGGGACTGGCCAGCCTGTCGCTGCTGCACCGCAGGCCCAGCTCAGGGCCCGAGGTGCGTGAGGGGCGAGGGCACTGTGGTCAAAACCACAGAGGTGGCCCTTTAGTGGGTCGTGCGATCGGTGACACGTCACACATAACCAGGTGAGGAGTGTCTGACTTCGGTTATGGCCACATGCGTGGGAACCCGAGGCACCAAGCAGGCTCGGGCCTCCATTCTGTCCCAGTGGGCCAAAATACGCTCTTGGGTTCACTTCTAAACGTTGATAAAATGTATTTCTTCTCCCAGGTTGCAATTTGTACCATTTTGAAATCCACATTACTAAGGGAAGCTGAGGTGTGACAGGCCTCGGCTGGGACGTGCTGAAGGACCAAGAGGTAGCCAGGGGCCTTCTGTGGCCCGAAGCCCACTCGAGGGTCTGCTGTGTGACCAGCCGAGAGGTTTGCCAGCTCTGAAGACTCTTGAAGGACTGCCATGCCCCCCAGCCACCCCCTGCCCGTCAGTCCCTTGAGCCATTCCCAGAAAGGCCTCGGGCTGCCAGCCTCCCAGCTGCTGAAGCTCAAATCGAATCAGGGCGAAGCAGGAGGCACCAGACAGCGCTCCAGCCTGGCCTCTGGGCTGCCCCAGACGGCTGCCGGCTCTTTCCGGTAAGGGTCCTAATCCATTTAGGAAGGAACCAGGGACTCGGGGAGGGAGGAGGAGAAGGGGGACCGGGCTGTGGGCCATCCCCTGACTCCCTGTCCCAGCCATCTGGGCCCCTAGGACCCTCTGTCCTGAGCCAGAGCCCAAGGAAGCCCAGCCGTGGGCAGGGGGGTGCCCTTGGGGAGGAGGGCGGAGGAGAAAGGAGAGAGCAGACCCTCCCACAATCACCCGGGCACTGAGAGAGGGCCGGGTGCCACGTGGCTGGAACTGCTGCAGTGGACAGAGGGGCAGGAGCCAGGAGCCTGGGGCCACGCCCACAGTGAGGGCCAGGCCCAGGTCTGCCAGGACCACGTTGGGCCAACTACCTCAAGCCCGAGTTTTCTCAGTTGCAAAGTGGGGCTAGTTCTAAACTGGAACTGAGCAAGGGGAGAAAATCACCCGATGAAACCAGCAACCTGCAGAGAAGAGGACACGAGTGTGGCAGGCAGCCCACAGGAGGCAAGCGCCCGAGAATGAGCAGGAGGGGGGTTCCTGGGGGAGGGGATAGGGAGAACGGAGCCATTAGAACCATTAGCCACAGGTGACGGGCAGCTGGCTCCTGGCCTGGGGCACAAGTGGCCAGGAGGTACTCAGTGACAGGGGACTTCCAGCTGTCCCTGGGGTCCTGGGTGGACAAGGCCTGCGAGGGCTGACAGGAAGGCAGGCAGGCTGTGAATACCCTCTCCCTCCTCACTCTCCCAAGGCTGCCAGGGCGCCACACACCTGGCTTTCCTCCCACCTCCTGGCCACTCCCCATCCTGGCACTGACCACCAAATGCTAGAGGGCCCATGGCTCGGTGGTGGGCCCTCTCCTCTTCCCCGCCCAACTCTCTCCTCACTGCTAGGCAATCTCTCGGCTTTAAACATCATCTGAAATATGTGTGAGAACCTCTTGATTTCTCTCTCCCATCCCCTCTCCTGAGATGCATCTCCACTCTCTTCAGTGTCTAACAAGGATCTTGAACAGAACATGGCCCTCCTGCTCAGATCTGCTCCTCTCCGGTCATCCGCTCGGGTGCTCCGGCTGAAACCGAGGCCTCACCCTGGATTCCCGGCTCCCTCACCTCTCCAACAATCTGGACAGAGGCCTGCTGGCTCCAGGATGCACCCAAATCTGTCCACTTCTCGCTACCACCAGGGCCGCCTCCCCGTCCAGGCCACCATCCCCACCACCCTTCTCTTGCCCCGTGGTCCCTCCGCAAACAGCAGCCGCATGAATCTCACATCGCTCTCCTGCTTAGAAGCTTCCAGGCTCCGCCCTGGATGCAGACTGGAAAGCAGCTCCCCTCCGCACTGCGGGCCCTGTGACCCGGGCCCCTGCCCTCTGCCCTCTGCCCTCTGCACTGGCCCCCTGCCAGCGGGTAGTGGAAGCGAGGTCTGTCCATCTGTCTGTCCCCAGGCCTGGTCCTTTCCTGTCCGACACGCAGCAGGAGGACTACGCTCCTCAGACTCGTAAGGACACGGCGAACAGAAAGATGAGCTGATCGAATCCACAGCTGACGCACAGGCAGGGTGACCAAGCTGCCCTGTTTGCCTGGGACTTTGCTGGGTTTAGCACAGAAAGTCCCCTGTCCTGGGAGACCCCTCAGTCCCAGGCAAACCAGGACAGTTGGTCACCCCACAACACAGGGACCAACAGGACCAGGAGCCCAAACGCTCCTCCCAGCCACTGAAGAGGCAGACACCAACAAGGAAGATGAAGTGACAGGCGTTAGGTCCTGCCTTCAGGTCCAAAGAAATCAACCTCACCATTAAGGTGAGATGGACTTGGGGCTCCTCAGCGGAGGTGACAAAGAGAAGGGGCCTCCCAAAGGAGGAGGCAGGCCACTTTATCCGGTGAGATCTCAAGGAGGGGAGGAAGCCACTCTCCGGATGAGTCTGAAGGTCATGTGTGGGCCAGATGGGTGGTCTTGTTTCATGAACAAGAACCGGGTGTTCCCCGGTCTGTGGCAACACCGCTGTGCGACACCTGCCCCGCCACTCAGCTTTCCAGCCTCAGCCTGCCCATCTGCGAGGGAGGCGGGCAGGTAGCACAGATGCTGCCAACACCTGCCCGGGCAACTCCCAGCCTCTGGGGCCACACCCCCAGAGCCCTGAGGTGACAGGCCCGCGGCGGACCCAGGGGACTCTCACGTATGGCCAGGTATGGCCTGGACGCTCTCTGGGGACCTTTCCAGCTCCGACATCCTGACACACTCTGAGCAGCATGGCTTTTCCTGCCCGCCGCCCGCCCCCTCCCTTGCTGGGGATTCCTTGCTCAGATGGTGGCAGCTTTGTTGGCCACTGAGAGCTGGAGGCCAGCCCAGTCCCCGAGCCAAAGATGAGGCGAGTACTTGTGTCCACATCGGTCAGTGCTGTCCCAACCTGAGACAGACCTGCCTGTAGGGGAGGCAGCACGGAGTCAGGCCCACAAAGCCTGCCAGGCCTGGGCTCAGGGCGAAGGCGAGCAGAGAGCACTCCCGCTGGGGTTTCCAATCCCAGACGCCCTGCACACGGCCAGCTGGGAGGTGAAGGGGCGTGTCCTCGTGCCTGTCCTTTCTGCTGCCCACAGCCTGGATGCCTGGCAGACAGGTGCTGGCCCTGGCAGGTACCCCAGCTCCCCAGCGACGTGTGGAGAGATGACTGGGGTTCATAGGGTGGGAGGTGGGGGAAGGGTGTGCAGGCAAAGTAAGGGCTGCACACAAACCTCCCGGCTCAGCCCACTGAAGACCCTGTTGCCCCAGCCACCATCCTGGATGCTCCCTTCATCCAAGGGCTCAACCCCCCCCGCCCCCTCCCTGCTCCACTGCCCGCTCCTCCTTCCTCTTCCAGGCTGAGGAGCCACCCTCAGGCCCACGGGCCACGGCTGCCCACCAGGGCCCCCTTGA